ACAGCTGTCCAAGATGGAATTTGTGCACCAATAAAACAGAAATGCTGTACCTTTATCCCAGACAATGACACTAATGTCTCAGATTTCTTAGATCATAAAAATACTACCACAGAAAAGTTAAATGACGTTTCTTACAGGGATGCTTATATCCAATGGCTATCTTTGCTTCTTGGTCATTTGGGAACAGCGGTAATTTTCCTTTTATGGGTGGTAATAATTCTGGTTGGATGTTTTGTCTTTAATTGTTATCTTGGGGCAGCTAAGTCTAGCAACCCAATCCTGATAAAAACCAAAGACCCTCTACCTGGAAATCAGGAACATTTCTGATTATACGTTAAAAGATTTCATTCCTCTTATCCCATACATCACCCCTTTTCAGCAGGTTTGGTCATCGCCCTTTCCCCTCACAATTGAGGAATGATCAAAAGGAAGGAATTGTAACTGTATAATAACTTTGTTTCTTTAATATTACTTTTCCCTTAATCCAAGTTAGCTTTGTTCAGTCTAATATAATTATGATTCACTTACTTTCTTTCAACCACATCCTTCCACTTTTGCACATACTACATGTACACTCCCTTAATCGTTAAGCCCTTAGGACATTAGGTTCTGGTCAGCATAAAACTCTCTTAAGAATAGAGCCTTAGGTCTATCAACCATGACAAAGATAAAATAACCAGACTCCAAACTAGAGCAAAGTTTCGGTCAAACTAAGGATGACATCTTGACTTCAGTTATGTTTCAGCTCCGGACCCATGAAAGCAGACCCCACCGACCACATCCTCACAAAACCAGACAAGACAATGCCATGACTGACATCAGGACCTGATACAATGATCAACTACCTCCTACTCTAGTGCTGACCAATCAGTAGAGCCCACGACCCCAACCCCCTTAGATACCATGACTAATCATATTTTTTCCCTATATAATCTGTCCCCTAGAGGTCATCAAGAAACCACATCTTTGAATGCTAGCTCACCTGTGTCTCCAGGCTTGGTGCCAATTCCCTAAATAAACCTATACTTTCTTTGCTATACACTTCTGTTTATGTCTTATTTGGCTTTGATGTGTGCAGGCAAACAAACTCTTTTAACATGGTAACAAGAGAAATATTATTTACTAGATCACCAATTTATTATAAAAGAATATAACTCAGGAACAGACAGATGGAAAAGATGCATAGGGCAAGGTATGGGGAAGGAACACGGAACACTCATGCTGTTTCCAACTGCACACTCTTCCTGAATCTTTATGTTTTCACCTGGAAACACTTCAAACCTCTTCTTTTTGGGTTTTTATGGAGGCTTCATTATATAGTCATGATTGATAAAATTATTGGCCATTGGTAATTGATTCAACCTCCAGCTTCTTTTCTCACTCTAGAGGTCAGAGGTGAGACAGAAAGTTCTAACCCTCTAATCAGGGCTGGCTCCCCTGGGAACCAGACCCATTCTAAGGTTACTGAGGGACTTTCCAAAATGCACCTCATTAACATAACACAAATACCTTGATCACTCTCAACACTTAGGAAATGCTAAGGGTTTTAGGAGCTTTTGTGACAGGAATGGGAATAAGACCAAATTATATTACTGTTGTAAGTCATAATATTACACTTTACATCCCCTCTTTCCTCTAGGTCCCTGACAAACACTATTCTGCTTTCTGTTTCTACTAACTGAATTTGATTACTCTAGATATATCATTTAAGTGAAATCATGAAATATTTATCTTTTTGTGAATAGTCAGCATAAAACTCTCTTAAGTTTTCTCATGAGTCAGAATTTCTTTTTTTAAGGCTGCATAATACTCCATTGTATGTGCATACCATATTTTGCTTATCCATTCATCCATGGGTGGACATTTGGGTTGTTTTACTTTTTGACTATTGTGAATAATGTTGTACACCTATGAATATGGATGTACAAAGTCTTGAATTTCTAAAAGAAGCTCTTCTTTACACTTTGCAATCTTCAATAAAAGACAATTGTTCATATCAAAGATAGAGTTTTGTTTTTTTTAAATGTGGAGTCTCTTGGCAGACTAAGAAGGAAGAACTAGCAGGGTAGAAAGAGAAAGTCAGAGATCTAGGAGAATCGAAGGCAGTAGTCCTCTGGAATCCAAATAAGGATTTCATTTTCTTCTTTTAATGAGAGGACGGCCACCAAATTCAAATGTTAAAAGAACAAAAGGCCAATTAGGAAGTAGACTGAACAGATGTGTTGGGATGTGCTATATGAGTTCATTGCTGATCTTAGCAAGAACCATTTTATTCCGTTAATTGTGGGGACAGATGGCAGATTGCAAAGACTTAAAGAGTGTTTGATGACGACTCGAAAACAATAAATAGCGCATCCTCTTTTGAGGAGTTTCAGGGAGCAAGAGAAGAAGGAGCGAGCCGGCTACTGGCCACGTAGAAGACGGGGAGCGAGAGGGAAATCGATGTTTGAGCTTCTAAATATCATCTTGTTTAATCATCGAAGGAATCCTCTAAAATGGCTTCTGTTTCACTTTTAAATGAAGAATTAGAGTATTGAAAGGGTTAAGTAATCTATTACATACACAAGATTAGAACCCAAGACTGTCTGACTCCAGAATACTGTATCATATACCTGGAGAACCAAAGGAAGGTTGTTTTAGGATGGGGAGAAGAAAGATGATTCTAGGCTTAGGGGATCAAGCCCTCTCTTAGCTCCATTTCATGCACCTCCTCTGGCTGCCTCCTGTATTTCCTCTGACTCCAACATTCCTTCAAAACTCCCAGAATAGAAGCATATTAACCTACCATTTTTCACCCTTTCTCCCCCTCCAACCCCACCGTCCCTTCTCAGTGTGCATTGCACGGTCGCTTTCCTGAACAGTTCTTCTCTCTCATCTTCCTGGTTTAGTCTTGCCTGCCTGGCAACACTCATGCAGGCGACGGCGGCTAGAGAGAAATGTATACCCACTCGCGACAGCAAGTCACATGTGGACCTTGACAGCTGAAGAGCCATCATCTCATTCTCCTACTTGCCTGGGTGACTGTCATATACGTTTCTTCTGCTCCATCCTCACTTTTTAATTATCATTTTTGTTTTGTTTCATTATTTTTTATTTTGCTCTTTTTGCTTGTTCGTTTTCACTTTTAGCAGAAGACCTTGCTTCCTATTCCACTGAGATTAAATATATCAACACAAGTAACATTGTGACCTTGATCAAAGGAGTTTCTATAGAGTGCTGAGACTAAAGCTGAATTAGGGTGGGTTTAAGAGAGAAAGGAGGAGAGGAATTAGAGACAGTACGTATAGACAAGCCTTTCCAGGAAGTCTATGACAAAGAAACCAAAGAAAAAGCAAAGTTTGGAAAGGCAAGTAGGGACAAAATAATTCATCTATATGTGCTGGTGATCCAGCAGTGCAGAAAACACAAGCTCCAAACACCCTTCAAGCCACAGAATTTTCACTTTTGGACCCTCCTCATCCCTCACAAATGAGATCCTGGAATGAGGAGGTGAGAACTAGAGGGAAAATCTCCAGAAATAAGAATGGATTTACTTTCCAACTGAAAGCAACGTCCAGTTTCCCGCACTCCTTCATTAAAGGAGCCAGCCGCTCCCGCCTCAGGACTCTGGATTACCCTGGAGGCATTATTCAATTGTCAGATAACCCAGAATCTGAAACAAACCCCATTCCCCTTCACAGCTGTGTTGCTTAGCCTGCTCGAGACATCTTCCCTCTAGGCTGGTTCAAATTCAAGGCCAGGTGTGGCTTGGTTTTAGTGGAGGTAATTAAAATGAGATTTGTCCATTAGCAGTGAATTTATTTTGCGAGACTACTCCCAAGGATAAATCAGGACTCAGAAAATGGTGACATTGAAAGCAGTTCTTTATTCTGCTGCTCCCCAACTCTTCTGGGAAAAGTGCCAGGGTGAGGAAAGGCAGACTTCGTGGGGCAGATCCCTGTCACCAGCCCCAGGGCTTACATCTCAGAGGGTGTCCTGCAGCCCTTTGCAGCACTGTGCAATCCTTACCGCTAACTTCGTAGCAAACCGATTATTGTTTTAGTGGTTTTGAGTGGTTGATCCACCATCTAGTCAATTCTGGGACTGATTTCATCTTTGGCCCACACGATGGGTTCTGGGAAATGTTGACTTGCCTATGAAAGGGTAGGGGCTCTGAGGTCAGCTCTAGAGGATGTTCCTGTTATCGATTAATTCAGAGGAATTTCAGAGAGGTCATGAAGACTAGAGGGCCTCTTTACTGACAGTTTAACCTCTCTTCACCTTAAAGTACTTCCTGCCTTCTCACCTCCCAGTCATTCTGAGGTTCAGCTAGGACGTGGTGGGGAGAGCCTGCATGAAAGGCTAAGTGGTAATTAACAGGTGTTAATGATCGATTCGTCCACGACATTGACTCAGGTTAGGTGGGGTTTGAAAACTGCAGCAAATGGTGGCCGTAGAAAGTGTGTTTCTTTGCTAGAACAATGGCCTTCAACAGTGGTCTGTGTAGCACAACTGCCTGATGTGCCTGAACTTGTAGAGTCCCAGGCCACAGCCCGGTGAATCTGTAGGAAGTTTTCCTGCCTCCCCTGCCAGGGCAGTGGGTGTGGCTAGCACCTGCGTCATGACCTCTCTGGAATTCCTCTGAATTAACCGGTAATAGGAGCATCTTCTAGGAGACAGGCCTGTGTCTGCCTCTTATTGTGATTGAGGAATTGGGTCCTTCTGTGTTTATTTTATGCTCTGCTCCACCAGGTCAATAAATACAGGTTAAAAGTTTATAGGTTTTTGTTCTAGAGTATCTGAGTTGTTATTCTGCAGGGTGGTTGACTGATAGAAGTCAACATATTTGTAACTTTTTTTGTTGGTTTTTTTTTTTTTATGCTATGCAAATGCTTGGTGTATTAATTTTAATTTTGTTATCTTAGTCTCTGGCTGAGCTGATGGTAAGAAGCGTACCTCCAAACTACGTATTTTTTGATTTGTTAAACAAACATCTTTTCCATGTATGTCCATGACATTACTGTGTGAGAAAGAATGTTAACTGTGTCAACAGACCAAAAATCTAAATTTGGTAGTCAGAGAAGGCTTCCTGGAGGATATGACTCAGCCCAAAAAGATGGGTAGGAGTTATCCAGGTAAAGAAGGGTAGGAAGAGTGTTCCAGTCAGGGGGAACGGTAGGGTACGTTTGAAGAATCGAAATGCACTTCATTTGTGGGAATACAGTAGAGTCTATGGGTGAAGGTGGCAGGAAACAGGGAAAGAAGAAGCTGGAAACACAGGTAGGGGCCTTGATATCAAGTTAAGATGAAAAGACTTTTTCTTAAGATAGAATAAGAGCATTAAACATTTTAGAGAAGGAAGTGCCATGATCAGATTTTAGTTTTAGAAAGATTACTTTTAAGATATGCCATGAAAACATGAAAGAAGGAAAGTGAGATGATTGAATTTTCTTTTCTGAAAGATTCACTTGTCCAAAAGGGCTTATGGAGGTCTGCAGGTATCCGAGGAGGGTGCCACCATAGGGTGTGAAGTAGGAGGGTGACAAGATGAGATAGTATCAAAAGTATCATTCCTCTAAGGGAGGTTGAAAAGTATAAACGGAAAAGTCACTGAGGAACCAGAGGAAACTTAGACTAAGTTGGAAGCCAAGATCTCTACCATGTCCTCTGTTCGCTTCATGTGCCAGCGCTGCAGCCAGCCCCTGAGGCTGACTCAGTCTACGGAGACCTTGGGCCAAGAACCTGCAGCTTCAAATCTCCCCTCAGCGCCGGGGCAGCCAGGAGAAAGCCCTGAGGAAGGCCTTACCTCCAGGGTGGGGATAGATATTGAAAAGCTGCAGGATGGTGACTCTTGCAGGACCCTCCCTGGTGACGGCAGGATGTCTGGGTATGATTTTAACAGCTTCACTCTGCTTGGGAAGTTGGGTTCTGGGAGAAGTCTCAACAGCATCCAGAAGGCCACGAGGGGCAGTTTTGACTTCCTTTCTGGTCAAGAGGATCTGGACCACCCCCTGTGTGAGGACTGCACGGACGATCTGTTAGAGCAGCTGGACACCCAACTCGCTCTCACGGAATCTGACAGCCAGAACTACAAACGCTACTTGGAGACCAAAGAGGGAGTAAGTGAGGACATGAGGCAGACGCTGCAGGAGGAGCTGAAGAACGCGGAGCTGGAGGAAGCCAGGCTGCTCCGGGAGCTGGAGAAGGTGGAGGAGAACCGAGAAAGAGCAGCAGCGGCCCTCAGGGAAGCCCAGGCAGAGACCGAGACGCTGGACCAGCAGGAAAGGCAGTACCAGAGAGACTACAGCGAATCGAAGTGGCAACAACTGGAACTGAATGACGAGCTGGGGAGCTTGGATAACCGGCTGCAATACACCCAGACCCAGCTAGACTGGCTAGAGAAGACTGATGCCTTCAGGTCAACGTTTGCGATCTGCCATGACGGCCCCTTGGCCACCATCAATAACCTCCGCTTGGGCTGCCTCCCCACTGTCCCTGTGAGCTGGAACGAGATTAACACGGCCTGGGGACAGACATCCCTGCTGCTCCTGGCCCTGTCTAAAACAGTTGGACTGGAGTTTCAGAGGTATCGACTCATCCCCTGTGGAAACCGCTCCTACCTGAAGTCCTTAACAGATGACGCCGTCGAGCTGCCTTTGTTCTGCAGCAAGCAGAAGAATGCTTTCTTCTACAACAAGCTCGACCAGGCGATGATGGCTTTCCTGGACTGCATGCAGCAGTTTAAGGAAGAGGCTGAGAAAGGCGAGTCGGGTCTCTTCATGCCCTACAGGATTCACATGGAGAAAGGCCTGATAGAGGAGGCTGGAGCCAGTGGCGGGTTCTATTCCATTAGAACCCACTTGAATACAGAGGAGCAGTGGACAAAGGCACTCAAGCTCATGCTTATAAATTTTAAGTGTAGTCTCGCTTGGGTCTCCTTAAGGTATTTTCAAAAATAACATTGTTTTTTTTTCTTAGGGGGAGAGGGATATTTTTTCTTTAAAATATTTTATTCGTGGAAAGTTTTATCAGATCAACTATCAAACTGGAGACGATAACATGTTTATAATTCTAATCACAAATGGACACACAGACGTCGATTTAAGAGGAAACCAGGAGCCTCTGCTGGCTCCCCGCACGTCTGTCCCTTGTGTCCTCGTGTCCTCCTCTGCCCGCCGTCCCCACCCAGGCAAATTCAAAATGATAGCAAAGATTGAATTGTGAGATGAGATCACTCCTGTAGAAAGGGATAGTTACAGAGGGAAAGAACTGAGGGCGGGGAGGAGGGGAGAGGGTGGTGAAGAGAAGGGAGGGAGCCTTTGACTTTTTTATGAGAAAATGAAAAGTAATCGGGCCACTGATGTATGCAGAAGTTCGAAAGAAGAGACATTCAAAGATTATTAAGTTTTTTGCTATGATATGTAGTGCAATCCCCTCCTCTTCATGCCTGAGCAACTTTAAATAAATTCTTATATGTTTTTCAATGATTTGAAGTGAGAAGCGCATCATTATGTTGAGACTCACCTGGAGGTGAGGGGTGGAGGTGGGGCGGACGAAGAAGACTGGATTGGCTGATAGATCAGTTCGAGGGTCAGTTAAGTTCCATGAGAGGAACCTTTACAGAGAGCTAAGGATTTTTTTTAAGTGAACAAGAGGAATTTAAAATGAAAACTGTATCATGTCACTCACGTGCTTCCCCAGTGCTCTCAGAAAAAAATCCCAAATCCTCGCCATGGCTTTCAGCCCTGGTAATCTGTCCCTGCATGCCTCTCCAGGCTTACCTCATACTTCTCCCAGAATCTTTCTCTTCTAGAAGATGCCAAATCCGTCCTCCTCTGCCTTTCCTCTTCCCGGTCAGGATCTTCTAAACTTCCTGAGAGCCACTGCAGCTTTGAAGTCCAGATAGGGCCTAGAGCAGCCCGTCATACCTACTAAGCATCTATAAATAGAGGCAGTTGTGGAAAATGAGAACAGGAAAGTGATTAATTTGTCACAGACTCAGAGGTAATAGAAAAACTACTAGGAGATTGGTTAAATAAATCTCAATTTAAGCAGATGTTGGAATACCGCATAGGTATTAAAATATAAACCAGTATTTAATTACATAATATGTAACGGCAATGCTTATAATATATTAAGTAAAAAGGTTAGATTATAAAACAAGGAATATGAAAATCTAAAAGTATTTAGAGAAAAAAATTCCAAGAATGTGTATTATTTGAATATATGAAGGTATTTTGATGAAATTTTTATATTAAAAAAATAAAGCTTTCCAGTTAAGATTAGGAAAGACGTAGAATATTGGCTATCAAATAATTAGATAAGTGAATTGAGAAATTCATTGACTACAAAGTCAATACAAAAGTAAAATGTAGATGTCAATGTAAGAAATATCCAAACTCGTAGAGGATTTTTATGAGTTTATTTGAGCTAAACTGACAATATATATGGTAGGGAGCAAGATCTCAAATGCTCCACGGAATAAGAATTTTGCAGTTCCTTTTACGCATTTGAAATTAAGGAATCTTCTTGTGTTTGCTCTTTTGGATACCTCGTATAAGTAGAGTCACGCAGCATTTGTCCTTCTGTGACTGGCTTAGGTAAATCATTCTTAAAAAAAAGAAGTAAGCTACTAGAAGCGAGGTCTGGAACAGCTGCACCAGCGTCACCTAGAAGAATGTAAGAAATGCAAACTTTCAGGCCCACCCCAGTCTTACTGAATCACAATCTTCCTTTTACGAGAGGAAGCATCTGGAATGAAGAGAGAAGTGTGGGCAGGCAAACGGCCAGAAGCTGGGCAGGCCTGGCACTCAGTGTGTGTAGCAGTGGGGAGGGTTGCTGCTGAGAGAGATGATGGAGGCGTGGGAAAGCACCATCTTGGAGGATCATCGATACCATGCCTAGGAGTTTAAATTTCTAATCTGTGCAGAGCCATTGAAACCCTAATGCCCTCACCTGATCACCACAGACATATGACCAGAAGTCACTGATTTGCATTTTAGAAGGTTCACAACAGAAGCAGTGCAGGCTCTATCTACAGGGCTGACCAGTGGTCAAATCAGCAAGCAGGGAGGTGAGGTGTCCTCAAACACACCAGGCTAGCGGTACCCATGAAGGGAATGGCAGGCGATATAGTTAGAAACGTAGGCAAATAAACAGAAGTGAGAAAAAGATTCCAGAAAGTCAAAAGAAGAGTAAGAAAATGAGATCTTTGTTGTTCTTGAGAAGAGAATTTTCAGATCTGCCTTTTTTATTTCAATGTAAATGAATATAATTATTGTAGAGAGTTCTAAATCACAGTATCTAGTTAAAATATTTGAAAACATTTTGAATCTAATAAAATTGTTTTAAGGCCATATTTAGCCCTGGGCCATTAACTTGAAATCTCTGGCTTATTTCATGTACTCTGAAAGCTAAATGAGATAAGTTTATGAAAGAGTTTTATCTATGTGAAAATCCTACAAAAACAAGTTTGGTTTTTTGTTTGTTTGTTTGTTTCCGGCACGTTAACTGGAGTAAGGAAGAGAGAGATCTCTTTCTTCGAAGGTGAAGAATTGGGAAATCTAATCTTTAGTAATGCTTGGCCTTCAGTCAGCAACTTGCAGATATCTCACTGAAGATGTCTCTTTAAAATGAGGTTAGTATCCATTTTAATAAGGTACCAGGTACACGGCATAGTTCTGATTTTTGTCTATTATTTTATAAAATGAGATCATTCCGTAAGCAGTGATTTGCAAATTTTTTATCACTCTTTTGAATGTCATTTTATACCTACATAATCCCAATATTATAACCATATTAATACAATTACCATTTATACCCAAAACTCAAGGGGAGAAACTGATTTACCCATTGTCTCAAAAATGTCTTTCGGCAGTGGTCTTGTTCAATTTAGGTTACCTATTGGGGGAAGGAGTGACGTGGAAGGGATAAAGATGGATGTTAAAACTTTCTAAGTATATTTTTCAGTTTTAACTTTTGAATAATGTAAATATTTTATATATTCACATAATTTAAAAATACATCAAAGGGAGATAAAACCTAAGTGTAAAACTGAAAACAATAAAAACAAATATTAAATTTTAACATAATTACATAGAGAAAAGGATTATTTTAGATACTTTTGAAAACAGTAATCTGATTGAATCTTTTTAGTAGATATGCTCTAAGGATAAAGAGTACTATAGTTAAGTATTAATCATTACCCAGTAGTTCTATTGAAAATAATAATACTGACTTATACTTCTAAATTTTTTTATGTATATTATAAAATAAAGCTACCACTATGTGAATTGAAAACCTCAGTGTGGATTCTTGCATGTGTTGGGCGTGTTTAATGACTTTCAGAGCAATGACAATACAGTGACCACAGAGAAACCCTGGTACCAAGTCTTGATTTCTAAACACAGTTGCCCACTGAAAGAAAGCTTCTTAGAGGAATGGCTAACTCCACATCTAAGGGGTAAAAAAAGTTCAAGTGAACTTGACATTTTGTTGTGCCATCAATTAAGGAAGTTATTGAAGACTAATAGGGTATTTCAGAATACTGTAGCTAACTTGAAAGAGCTCCCATTGGCCAAATTTTGGGGCAATTTGAACAACAAGAAGATAATGGTAATTCTTTGTAACACATTGAAAAGCATAAATTCACAAATTCGTAGTAATACTAGAAATGGCAGGGGAAAAACATCCATGTGTCATGATTTGAGGTGAGTAATATGGTTAATTCTTACTTTAAAATTCAGCAGTGAAGGGGAAAATAATGTAGCACACTCTCCTTTTTAAGGAGAAAATGCAGTTCATCCCAGTTGATAAGGGACCATTCTCCTTTATAGAAAAAAAAAATGCCATCTAGTAAATGATGCAGGAACAATAGAATTGGAAAATAATAATTTTGCAACCCCTAATGAAATAATTGACTCAGGTAAGGATAATCAAAAGATACTGAAAGAGGAGCTTGGAGGGGAGGATGTTTGCACAGCACCAAAATATTGATACGAGACATTACTTGTAAAATTCTTAATCTTTTAGCAGGAAATGAAATGGGACATCTCTTACAGAGTTTTTAATCTTTTTAGCAAACCTAGTTTTCTTCCCTCCTTTCTTTAGGAAAAAAGGCCCTCTCCCTCAAATCCCAATCAGATCCTCTGGCTATTGATAAGGGTCATCTATCAGCCCATTGTTAGCAGAAATGAAGTTAGGCCAGACAGGGCCCTTAGAGTCTGAGAGGGGAGGGGACTTTAGGCTCACGGTCTTTTACTCTTTAAGAACTATATTAACCAAGCTTTTCCCCTTTACTCACTTAATAAGCAAATCAATAATAGAAACTAATAGCAGGGACGACGACTCTTCTTAACAGGAAGCAGATACAGAAGAAGAGACCTCCTGTCCCTCAACATCCTTACTAATCAGGGGGTTCATGGGTCTTAGAAAAGAGTTAGGCAGGAAAGTTAGGGGGTTTTGGTCTGCCTGCAAAGACTCTGAGGTCATCCTGTCCTAGAGGGGGTCCACCCTAATCTGCCCACAATTAAGCAAACCAGAAGGCATTTTTTAAACTCATACAAAGAAACAAGTAAGCAGAGAATTATATACCAGTTTAAGCCAGTCACTCGCACCTGCACAAGGAAGACCCCAACCACCTTCAACTCACCCGAGTTTCATTATACTATTATTATAATACAATGCCTATGCCCAGAAGTTCATTAATATCATTATAATAGACTGAATTCTGGGAACGAACATGCGCAGAAAGCAAACGATGAATCACTGAGTCCTGTTGATCTTAGTTGTCAATCAAGGAAGCCCATCCCTCTAAAAAGTAACCACCCACAGCAAATAGGGATAAAAACCCAAAAGGCTTTTTGAACCACGCTTCTCTTGCTCAGGCCTGCTTCCGCGTCCAGAAGTGTACTCTCCCTGCTAATAAAGCTTTTCTTTTCTGCTGTATTTCGGTGTTGTTGTGGCCTGTATAGAATAGACCAAACCAAGTATGCTCTCAAAGGCTGTTTATTAGCCAGCGGCTGTCCTGTACAAAGGAGAAGCCCCGAAAAGCCAAGATACAAGGTTTTTAAGCCCTAAATCCCATTCTTCATTCTATCTTAAACACAAAGGTCTATTTTTCTCCTATTTACTACCTGTTAACCCATAGGTCGGAGTGTGCAAGCGGGGAGTACAGAAGCAGAAAGCTTGTTGTTAGAATGTTATGTTCCTGTGGGTGATTGCCTATG